TCATGACACAAAGGTGCGAAGAGATACACAGATGCGATGAGTTTTATTTAGAGAAGATAGAAATAACACAAATCATCCGGAAAACTATCTATTATACTTGAAAACAAACGCTTGCCAATGATTAATTAAAAAGAGAAGAAAAAAATGACAACAGGAATAAATAACTTGAACCATCTTTGCCCTCTAAATGTGGCTACCAAGAATTATTTTAATTTTCCCCAAAAAGGGTTATAATTCAATTAAATCTCAATAAACATCTAAACATCATTGCTCCCTATGTCAAAAGGGTCACCTCTGAGGAGCCTAAAAGATGGGAGCACTGTCCCAAAGATGTTCATTGGAACCAATTGCTCTCCTCTCTCTCTCTCTCTCTCTCTCTCTCTCTCTCTAAATTCTTTTTCTTCCTTTATTTTTTCTTTCAATCCTTTTCTTTTTCTTTTCTCTTTTTCCATACTGTGCCAAGCTAATATCAAAACTAAAAGTGCTGAACAAATCAAAGAAGCCCAAAAAAAAAATAAAAAATCAAAAGATAGTGTCCCCCAATTTCAACATACTCGTCCTTAATTTAATAATGCATCTCACTTTTTTCCCTGTGTGATGTTTTTGGTGTATCTACTTGTCTCTTTTGGATCTTCCCTTAAGAGCTTACTTTATGAGGCTAATTGCTGCTTGGTCTTCTCGTGTCTGCTTTCTTTTTGAGTCGCCTTTCCTATATTCTTCTTTTTCTTTTTTCTCTTTCTTTATTTTTTTGGGATTTAGGTGAACACCTTTTCTATATTCTTCAATCCAATCTTTTCTTGGCCAAGACAAAAGTGGGCATATTATCTCGCATCTCCAATGGAGAAAAGAGGGAAGAAAACGAAAGAGGTTTCGTTCTTCTTCGTCCCATTTGAGCTGAGGAATTGGATGAGTCCCCTCATCCAGCTCGAGGGTCAACCAGGAAAAAGTTTGGGTTATCATATAATTCTGTATTAGATATACAGTTGTTCATTTTAATATACGAATCGGATAGATGTGTTATGCCGTGTCTTGTCATATTTGGATTTCCTATCTGTAATGCGTGTTTTTCCCGTATCCTGCTCGTCCCGTGGGAGTCGTGTTCAAATTGCCAGCTCGACTCGATAAAGAACTCGGGTCGAGTTCGTTCGTTTGGATAGTAAATAAGGAAAACCGCAAAGCATACCATTCGAATTTTAACATTCAAATAAAAGGGGCGTTTAAAACTGTAACCTTTTGAATCCCTTGTGAATCTCACATTCGATTCTTACTCGGCATAAGTTCTCAAGACCGGCCGGAAAGAAATTATCAGTTCCTCGCTAGTCTCCCCATCCCGACATGTATGGCCTACGTTCAATCAAACTAAGAAGAAGGGCTTAGCCCGATTGCAAAAACTAACTCGGGAAATCGATCGGCAGCAAAACCCACCAAAACAAATAAACAAATTCCTCAAAGCACAAATGCATTTTTCTAGGTTTCACTTCCATTACAATATCTATTCACATACCAACTTGATTAGAGCAGGAGTGACCACCCAATGGCTACACGAATGACAATGATCATTATGACATCAACGAAATTGTCAATTCAGATGACTCCGGCATTCACGGCGCTATGTGTGAAAGACCAACATGAATGTGGATTTGAGGTTTAGTTCGTGAGGCAAGTGAAATTTTAATTTTATTTTATTTTATGTTATTTTATTTTTTTTTAACTACTTGGCCATTAAAATAATAAAGTTCGGATTGAGAGAATAAAGCCAAGTCATGATTCCAAAAACTTTAATTCAAAGAGGTGGGGGGTGGGAGGGTGGAAAGCACATGCAAACCCCCTTGTGCATGTCTTTTTCTGTACACCCAACAACTCCCTCCCTCAGTCAAAAAATCAAACTATATTCTCAATTTTATTTATTCAATTTTATTTATTTATTTTTCTCTATTTTTTAAATGGTTGTTCAGAGAAATTTAATTCTTGCTTCTTGTCATAAGCACTTGTACTGTATAGTCCTCCTCTGTTCTGAGAATCTCTCACCCCGCGCACGAGATTTATTGCACGTTTGATTGTAATTTCTATTGCAAATCTTATCACGTATTACATAATTTGGTCATTAACTAGCTATTGCATAGCCCTCCATGTGACACTTAAGTTGCTATGGGAAATTTTGGAAAAATACATCCAGCTAGGTCAATTTCATAGCCTAAAAAGTAGAATCCATAGTTGGTTTCCTCAATCAAAGGTCGAGGTTGAATTTCATCTCCCAAGCAACGCCTCTTTTTTTTTTACCCTCTCGCATCCTTATCGTGCTGATATACAGTGTTAAACTTATTGTGCATCGCTTTTATATACACACGGTCTACTTCCACTTATGAGCTTACGTTTCTGGCTTGAATTTTCTGACATGATATCAGATCTTGTAATTTCACATGTCTGTTCCCGATCCTATAAATGCGGTTTCCCTCTTCCAGATTGGACGCTGCGACATAAACCAAACTGGGTTTTGAGCAGACGAACAAAGCATTTTTTTAGGGCGGGAAAATTTGCGCTAAATTGTTAGATTTTTTGCATCGGAAACCCCAAGAAAACTACCCAATTGTTATCACCAACACAAGTTAATTAAACAGATCAGACAAGAAGTCGATGAGGCTTGGGAGGATCTCAAGGTTGATTTTGCCTTCACAAAGAAGCCACATCAAATTTCTTGTACATTGGAAATGTGCATAACGAGCTTGTGTTGTTGAACTCCCACCAATTCGCGTTCAAACATGCAAAACAGACTTCCACCTAAAGAAATGTTCATTAATACCGCCAATTAATGCGACTTCCCCTTCGCATGTGCTCCCCCTCCTTGGACTTCTCCTTCCTCAGATTGAATGCTGATTGGCATATTTATTAATCTCCCATTTTTATTTTTATTCTATTTTATTTTATTTTTCCATGTCGATTTATGATAAAGATGGGTGTGGATTCAGCTTAAAGAAACAGTACATGATTAGCATTGGCTTTTAAGGGGCCGTTCTCGAGCTTTGTTCTTGCTTGGAACGATGAGAAGCATATAAATGGCATAAATGATAGGATATGTATATAAAAATTGTATAAATATATAGATATAGATATATGTAATGGGTTTTCTTAATTCTTTTAGTCACTTATGGGCTCCAGCTGGGCACACCTAGCTGACGAAGTATGACTAAGAAATTTTTAAAATTTTTATATTGGAAATTTCTAAAAATCTATGCTTAGGAGGGCAAAGTAAGTAAAGATAACTCGAAATTTCACCGGCATAGAAATTATTAAAAGTCGCGTCGAGCAACTAACATCGAAAGGTGGCCCATCGTGCAATATACCTCTCCCCTCTTCCGTATAGAGTGTATAAGTGTGCTAGATAGAATGAGAAAGTAGGTACAATAAGTGCCTTTTCATTGAGAAATGGTCGAGTATTCAATTTCATACACGAATAAGTTTGTGAAACTATCGAACTTTATTGCTCCTCGCTAGAAAACCGAAGGTAAAAACTTCATGCGAATGGAATATGATACCATTTCATATTTTGCGCAGGTGAAATTTGGCATGCTACATAACATGACTAGAGTGCTCTTAATCAAATGCAACCCTTGGTAGTTTATAAGTTAATAATCAATTTGATTGCAAAAAGAAAGGAATTTTCTCACATAATTCTACGAACAAAAATGAAAGCTCCATCCAAGATCACATGAGGATTATTATACTATAGGTAAAACGACCAGCCATTTTATCGCAAGAATATTTTATCACAAGGGCTTTGACAAGCCCTCCCTCATCTACTCCTGTCTTGGTCAGTTTGGTGCATTTTCAAACATAAGTCTTCCCCAAAAAACATGAGCTCTTCCAACGAGGTCAAATCGAAACCATAGTCCGAAAATAAATTCTTTTAAAAAAATACGTGAGTGGCCGACTACATGTAATGTTTCTTCCCAAAAAAAAAAAAACACTCGGGTGCGGTTATTTTACGAAAAACAAATATTTTTAAAAATAATCATTTATATCGCTTATAAAAATGATCGAACGGAAAAAAAAATTTCATCATCAACGTAAATTATTATTGATAATGAAAAAAAATTCATTAATTAATTATTTTGAGTGATATAAGTAATTACTTTTAGAAAAATAGCTTTCGAGTCATTCATTTTTTCGCAAAATAAAGGAGCCTGATCATTTTTCTTACCGATTTGTCCAAAATCAAGGTGTTTTTTCCATATATATTGCTAAAAAGTGTTATTGGATGGTCCTTCACATTGTTCGAAGGATTTGACTTTTCTTTCCAAAAGATAAAGCTCTCCCTCCCCACAAACGAAAAACTACGAACACTGGCCACGATTTGGTGCTTGGACTTTTCAAAGGTATCCCACGGGAGAGAGAAGTCAGAAAAAAATAGGGTGAATGCTGCATCCGGGCTTTCCACCGTTCGATCGAAAAGCAAGAAAACGACCGCTTCCCGAGCTAAAATCTACCGAACGGCTGAGATCTGTTGCATTTCAATTCAACGGTGAAAGACTATAAGGGCGCGCGCTCGGCCTCGCGCAGACCGCAAAATTCACTCCCGAAAGACATCCTACCAAAGGAACAAAGTGACAATATGCCACTGAGTCTGATGATTTTGTCCAAAGGCTCCACCTTCATTTTGCTTTCGCTTCCAGGCTTTTCATATGATTAGTCAAGGACCCAATGAGCAAGCCAAAAACACACACATCAGAACCAATGCTTTGGTTACCTCATGATGAACCTCTCTTATTTCAAAGTACCCTATAGCTGAAGTGCCGTTCGATACAGAAAGGGAAAGGAGAAGAGAGGGACCGTACAGCTAAAGGAACAACAGGAACAGCAGGCAAATGCAAATAGTCCTCCAACTATTTCTTCTCTTCATTTGTTCATAATCCTAAAAGGTCAATCCGGATAAAATGCCAACCATCTCCATTCCCAAATCTCAAAAGCCTAAGATACCCAAACAAATCCCCAATTGGGAATGGTTTCTGCAACTTCCCATTTCGCTATTCGATCGTCTGGGGATTAGGCCGGAACCGAGAGATGGTTGGCAATTTAACTTGAACATTACATGAACATATGAAATGTTATTTCCAACATATAAGAGTATAATAACCAGAACCAGGAAGGAGTACTAGTGAGGGAAGCTGAAGACATCCGCATGAGCATGGTCTTCGACGTCGAGCGACCCCCGCGGAAGCCGATCTTCGGCTTCTTCGCCGGCTCTGCTCTTCTTGGAGTGAGGCTCTGGGGAGGAAGAAACCGAAGCCGCCACGGCCCAAGAGTCATTGGAGCTATCGGAGCTGAAGCACATTTCCATTACTCCTCTGGGGCTCCCGGGGACCGAGCCAAACTTGCGCTTGTTGTGTGGATAATTCTGGCCTCTTGAGGCGTGGTCGTTGATGAGCTTGTAGCAAGCATCGATCTTGTCCTGTTCAAAGAGCGATGCCACAGATCAGATTTAGGGTTATCTTGGTAATGTCCTGTTTTGAACGAATCAAGAACGAGAGGGAGGGTGGAATGAGATTTAGAGAGACCAACCATGCCCATTCCTAGGATTCCCAAGAGCTGGGTTTGGTCTTCGACACCGAGACGAGGTTTTAGGCCATTGATTACGTGCAGCATTGTGGAGGCAGCTATCACTGAAGGAAGAAAACACGTGAATCTGCAATCTGCGGAATGAAGACATACACGGTGCGTCAGAAACAGAAAAACCCGCAGCTATCCCAAAGGATTTCTACGCCGAATGCATCAGCTAAGCAATGGAGCTGGGCATTTTGGAATGGCCTACCTGAGATTACAGAGAGGAGGACGTGCTCGCACCTTCTAAGGAACTCCCAGCACAGATGGCCCGTCAGCCCCAGTCTCCTTGTCATGTAATCAAGAAACGATAGCGGGGTCACTGGATTCATCTTCCAATCAAGCGACGAGAGCACCAGGAGCTCCATTCTCTGTATGTTCTTCGCCTCAAAGACGGGGCAGCTGTCCTCGACCTGAAAAGAAAAATTAGCATAAAAACTACCGAACCCACATTGTCAATGAACAAGCAAATCAAGCGACGCCTTTTTCTCAGAGGCATTCTATCGAACAGCTGGAGGACGGACGCTTTCCGGCAACGTACTTGGAAATCAATGAGAAGGGGCACTTGGGTCTCCTCCACTTTGGCAGCGAGGGAGAGACAAGCGACGGCGGAGAGCTGAGTCATCCACGGCTTCTCTTCCTGCAAACGGAAGCCGCACATGAACCTGTCCCAGTAGTTCACCGCGAGCAGAGCCGTGAGAGCGGAGAACGCGTAGTGCGCGTGGACTCCCATTATCCACTCCACGGCCTCGCGGCGAGCATCGGCCAAAGACGGGTCGTTTTCCAGATTCGGATGCATGCCGCTCCGCTCCTCTTTGGAGAAGAGGGAGGCCAGCTCCTCGTCCTCCCACAGCAAGTCCTGATCGAGCAAGACTCGCGGGCTCAGCAACCTGTGATCTCTCTCTTCCGACAGAAGCCCATCACCCGCTAGCTCCTCTTCCTCATCCTCCTCCTCCTCCTCCTCCTCTCCTCCCCAGTGCTCCTCCGAGCAGTAAAGGGCGTCGAAAAGGAGGGTGCTTTGGAGCCGTTCTTGTTCCTCCTGTTGATGAAGAAGACGATGGTGGGGCTCATAACCTGCCTCCATCTCCTCCTTCTCCTCCTCCTCCTCCTCCTCCTCCTCCTCCTCCTCCTTCTGCTTCTTCTTCTTCTTCTTCTTCTTCAGAGAAGAAGAGGGTCGAGGTACGAGAAGACCATCACTCCATCAGAGGGGCAATGGAGATGGCGCAGATAAAGAAGGAACAGAGTTCCAAGAATGGCCCTCCTCTTGGAGCCATCTCTCTCTGTCTCTGTCTCTCTCTCTCTCTCTCTTCCTCTGTTTCTGAGCAGGTCTGCTGAAGGAGTAGAGAGGGGAACTGATGAGAGCTCCTCAAAAGGATCTGCTGCCTTATTTGTTGTGGACTTCGAGCTGCGTTTCTTTCTTTTTATTGCAGGGTGTCCTTTTGTGCGCGCAGAGAGAGAGAGAGAGACGGAGACAGAGACAGAGAGAGGAAAGAATTTTCTTACGATGCTCGAAACTTTTTCTAAACAAATTTGGAAAGTTTGCTCGCCCCCATCATCGTTAATGAAGAGCAGCTATGTAGTTTAGAAAGTTTAATAAAAAAATTTCAGATGGATGTTAATGGGTGTGAGCAGTGCAGCAGGAAAGATTGTGCGGGCTAAGGTTATAAGGTTACGTTTGGTCGTCCGAATTTCTAATCAAGATAGGACTCGATAGGATAGGATAAGAAGTCATGGGATTTTGTCATATCCTATCTACTGTTTGGTGAATTTCGGATTTAAAGTCAGATATTTTTATATCCTATCTTATCCATTACTTGGTAGAAACCGGATATCAATATAAAGGACATATATGCCCCTATGTAGTGTCCATGAAATAATATCAATCTCATCATCATAAAAATATCTTTGCGTGACCAAAAATGACAAAAACTGCTGTCACAAATTCACAAGGTTTGCTACTCTAATGCACATGCTGACTAACAATACTAGCCAAAAATTGATCTTAGCAGAAATATGTGGTGCTTCGGGAACTCAATGGAGAACAAAGGGGCAGAAGGCGGATTCTGGAAGCCTAGAAGAGAACCCCGTGATATAGTTGGTGATGCTTCGGTCAATGGTCGAGTAGCAACTCATGAATTCTATGAAGAACGAGGCCCGCATGTTGAAAAAACTAATTGGTTGATGCTGGAGGACTATATAACTTTGAAGGTGTTAAGAGAAGCTGTTTTGGCAAAGTATTACCCGAATTCCACGTTGTCTATGCTAATTCATGGATGTATTTTTACTCTACTGCCAGTCAATGGCCAGTTTAGGTTGGATTTCGTGCAAGATGCTAATTCACTCTGCAAAGTCTTCTTTAATAGTAGCTCGCCACCGTCTGACAGTAAAATGCTGCAAAATGTTGCGGGTACTGAGATCCATTGAGAAAATTACGTTTACTCACTACCTCCAGATAATTTCAGCATACCTACCGAGCAATGTGTAACCAACCAGATTTCATGGATTGAAGCACGAATTCACCAAGATGGAGCTTCAATTCATCAGATTAGAGCTACAGAGAAGAAGACGTTTCAACTCTCGCTACTTTCGTAGTTTGGTTTCGTGAAACTTCGATGTGAGAGGAGTCGCACATGTGAACAAGAAGAAAGAAAAGAAGAGTGTAGGGTTTTCTGAAAAATAGCTAGACAAGAGAAATCCTATCCGGATCTATCCCATCTCCCCCCTAGGATTTTTTTATCCGGGCTATATCCCCTTTATATTCGACTTTATCTTATACTAGAGATTTACCAAACACATGATAGGATAAAAAATATCATATCCTGATTTTTATCCTAATGACCAAACGCACCATAATAGTGTATTCGCATAAGAACAAACACGTAACTTTGGAGGAGATGAGATGGCGAGAGTTTTATGTGTACAATAACATCACGTGTTTTACTTGGGAGTAGAAAAATGTCCCACCATATCAAACCATGTTTTACTTGGATTATCGTGGACAATATCGAGTGGCGTTCCTCTCGCCCGCTAGTTGATGCCCCAACTCTCGAAAGTTCGCAATTTGAGCATTCCTCTCGGGGAATCCGCGCCGTACTATCAAGTTGGATCGTCACGGATCGGAGGGATCAGTGACGCTCCTCTTAGGAATAGTGATCGGGTTAGAGTGATCAGATAATGTGCATCTCTTGACAGGCTTTCGGGCTATTAAAGAAGTGCATCGCGAGGTTGGGTTCATCTACTTCTCGAGTATCTTTGACACGCTCCCGTTTTTTCTAAGGGGAATGGTTACCAAAAATCATAAACTATACCCACCGTGACATGTTTATCTTAAATTTTAGTCTGTGACACAAAAAATCCAAAATTTATATCTGTGAAATACATTTACCCCCCGTCAAAGTTATATGTCAATGGGAACCGTTATAAATCTATCTATATAGACGCCAGAAAGCAAACGGTGTTGATAGGCGTCCACGTTGCTTAAGTTTTGGCCGAAAAATCATCAAATGAAAACTTTGACAGAGGGTAAATATGTCACGTAGATATAAATTTCGAATTCTTTTATATCACAAGAAAAAGTTTAGGATATAGATATAGTTTGAAGTTTTTTATATTACAAAAAAAGTTCAGAGTAAATATGCATTGTGGGTATAATTTAGGGTTTTTTCTAACTTTTTCCCACTGTATTATCAAGTCAGACCATTATGAATCAGCAATACTCCTCTTAGGAATAGTTATCAGGTCAGAAGGATCAAACAATGTGCATTTTTTTCACAGGTTTTTAGGGTTTTAAAAAGTGCATCGCAAGGTTGGGTTCAACTCCTTCTTAAGTAGCCTCGACATACGCTCTTGTTTTTTTTTTTTGATAATAACATAAATAGTCTCTGAACTTTTTTTCAATATGCAATGTGATCCATAAATTTTTTATTTATTCAATATAATCCATAAAGTTTAGCTTAATATGCAATGTGATCCCTGAACTTTTAATTTGTTCGGTGTGGTCCTTGAACTTTTGATACATGTTCAATGTAGTCCTTGAATTATATGAAAATGTTCAACATAGTCCCTAAACTTGAATTAATTTAGGGACTACATTAAACATTTTCATATAATTCAGGGACTAAATTAAATATGTACTAAATGTTTAGTGACGATATCGAACAAATTAAAAGTTCAAGAACCACATTACACATTGGGTTAAAATTCAAGGACCACATTGAACAAATTAAAAGTTTAGGGACCACATTGCACATTATGTCAAAATTTAGGGACTGTTTGTGTCATTTTCTTTTCTTTTTTTTTCCTCATGTAGAACTTAGTTCATTCTCTCTATTTTTGCTGTGCTAGAATTTTACCAGTTGAAGAGAAACAAGCCACACACATCGAGAATTTTTACCGGCAAAATTTGTAATTGATGCTTAAACAAACCAACCATCCATAGCACGAGCCCCACTTGATTGAGCACTCAATCAAAATTTGCCACGTCACTTAGTAAAAAAAAATTAGAGTAAGATTTCTTAGTGCATCTAACATTCTCAACAAAATACACCATCGTAGAAGTCAGTGGGATCCCTTAGTAAACCAATCTAATCTAAGAGCGACTGCGAAGACGAAAGAGGTCATTTAGCCCAAAAGCATAAGAGCAACAGTAAGGGGAATAAAAATTTAATAAAAAAGTTGCGTTAGAATCATGGCCATATGCGATTTTGGAAAAATAACACAAATGATTTCCAAATTTTGACCTGATATGCAGTGTGATCGCCGAACTTTTAAATTATTCAATGTGATCCATAGATTTTTTATACATGTTCAGTTTAATCCTTAAACTATATGAAAATGTCCAATGTTGTCCCTAAACTTGAATTAATGGAATGACGATATTGAACAATTTCATATAGTTCATGAACTAAATTGAACGTGTACCAAAAGCTCAAAAATCATATTAAATATATTAAAAGTTCAGGGACCATATTACACATCGGGCAAGAAAGTTCACGGACCACATTGAACAAATCAAAAATTCATTGACCATTTATATCATTATCTCCGCAACTTTTAGCTCGACGCGACTCCACTTCCTTTGCGATTTTTCAAAAGCCCTGCATTTCCCCTTGTTGCTTCTGATCATTTACTACACGAAGCCAACCATGAAAATTTGGATTTTCTGAACCGTGGAGATTTGGAGATTTCAATGTGCCTTTTTCTCTCGTTTTGACCTTTTTTTCTTTTATTGGCAAAAGGGAGGAAACAGGTGGACGGTGCCGGGGATCTCCTATGGATGTTATCACAAGGGTCCTGCGTTCGTTTGCTACATGAACTGAACTTGTGACCTCACGGAAGATAAATAATGTCTTTACCATAGGCCAATCACCTTGGTGGTAATGTGTTTCTTAAGCAAACGAATTAAAATCGTGAACAGAAAAGTAGGGAATGTCCCCGAGTCCCATCCGGCGATGACCTGTGTTGTTATCGCCATTAAATGATTGGGGCTTTTCTTTTTCGCCTAAAAAGTTTCCTAGACATCGACACGCTCAAACATAGATTGAGTCGATTAAGACATGCCCGACATGAAGTTGTTTTTGGCATGAAACTTATGGAATGCGATACGCCGCCGGCATTACAATTGCAATATTTGATTGGATAAGTGGCCGTTATTACTCTGTAATGATTTTCAAACATGTTAGTACTAGCGGTAACTGATTACACTGTATCATAACGATGTAGTACGTGACATGATATAAGTGTTACATGATTGATTTTCTCCGAAGTCGAAACCGTGATCACGTGCAAGTTTTTTGGGGGCAGATTAGTAACTTGCAGCCAGTCTTAAGGATATTAAATTAATTTTAAAATTAATAAATAAAGGTCCGAAATTTAGTGGGCCGAAATAAAGTTCAAACCCCAATATGACGTTGATGGGCTGAGAGTCCCCCATAGACTTGACGGGATCGCAAAATATCGATATTGCCCCTAAATTTTAAGAAAAATGAAAATTTATTATTATAAAAATTTCTGGTGGTTCTACACAGTGCTTAATTATCTTAATTATCTGGTGATCTTTCATAAACCCGATGTGGATGGGCAATCAGGAAAATCGTTTAAATAATTGTTAAAAAAATTTCATGCAGGATCGATGTCTGGGAAAATTCGTAGTTTATTACAAATTAATTTTAATAGTTCAAAATTGACGTATCTTTAATAAAGAAAATTCCCGATTTTCCCCTTCTTTTTTCCCCTTGGTTATGTGTATAATTTGCACGGGACTAGTCGGATTTACAAGTCACTCACCACTTGCTTTTAAGGTATTTGGTTTAAAATTACCGTGATAAAAACAAATGAATACCGACAAAATTTGTCTTAAACTGTTTGTTTGGACTTACATAACTTTACTTTTCCAGCAAAACTTTTAAAATATTATTCCGATCACATAAAATCGTGAAAAAATCACATGTAAGTCTAGTTGTCAACGTTTAAGTGTTGAGAAAATTTCAAGTAGTTTCGGATTCAACGAACAAAAAAAAAGTCAAAGTGTGTGAGTTGCGACACTAAATTGTATTACTAGATTAAAGAAATTGAATATAGGGAAAATACCATAAAAAACCTTAAACTATGTCACTTGTGACAAATTTACCCTGAACTTTTTTTTGTGACACGGAAAACCTCAAACTATATCACTTGTGATAAATTTACCCTGAACTTTTTATTGTGACATGAAAAATCCCAAACTATGCCACTTGCGACACATTTATCCCACAATACTTTAGCTCATGGACATTTTCGTCTTTTTCCTTTTTCTATTTTTTTCTCCTTTTTTCTTTTCTTTTCTTCTCCGGCGGAGGGAAGCCGGCGAGGGCTGCTCTCGCTGGATCCAGCAAGGGTCGCCCTCACCCGCCCAGGCGAGGGCAGTCCTCGCTGGCCTCCCTCTGCCGGAGAGAAGAAAAGAAAAAAGAAAGGAAAAAAAACAGAAAAAGGAAAAAGACGAAAATGTCCATGTGCCAAAGTATTGTGGGGTAAATGTGTCACAAGTGGCATAATTTGGGATTTTTCACGTAACAAAAAAAAGTTCAGGGTAAATTTATTACAAGTGGCATAGTTTGGGGTTTTTCGTGTCACAAAAAAAAGTTCATGATAGATTTGTCACAAATGACATAATTTAGGGTTTTTGGTAATATTTTCCATTGAATATATTCCCTTATCTTTTAGCGTCTCTAGCTTTACTCACGAACTATTCGAACTTAATCATAGGCCTCTCAAATTCGACTCAATTTATTTTGAGCATGAATTTTGCCCGAGCTACGAAATTGACCCGAGTCCATACAAATTTTTTTTTTCACCTGGCCCCCAAAGAAAAAATGTCCTCGAACGTTGAAATGGAAATTGCACAAGTTCAATGAGTGTCTCTTTGTCAGTCGTGTTCTCTTATACCGGCATCTCGATCCATAATTTTCTATCATCGATGCATAGTTAGGAGATGTACATCTAAAGCGATAGGTTAAGATCGCC